GGCCCCACACCCGGTTGCCGGCCCCCGCCGGCGTGCCCCCTCGGCCCGGACTGAGCCCATGAGGCCTGCTGGTCCCGTGACCGCCGGAGCCCGCCAGGCTCCCCTGGCCTGCCGGATTTCAGCGACCAGAGAAAGTGCTGCTGCTGGCTCCAGTTTCCTGTCTCGAGTCAACTTTCAACGTTTGGCTCGACAGGTGGTGGTGGTGGTGGGGAGAACCATAACATCTTCTTGGCCACAAGGTTGGTTTTGGAGTCAGAAGGAAAAACTACGTTTAGCAGAAGGAAGAAAGCTTGATAAACAAGGTGAGGTAAAGGAAGAGTAGAAGAACTGTCCCACGGATGCTTATAGCAAAATAGGGAAATTTTATAAATGCCACAGTTTGTCACCACAGAACAGTAGTTATTGCTTGAAATCCAACTTTTCAGAGTGGACATCTTAAGAATAACCTTAGTTAAGTTCTTCTTTTTCCTCCCAAGTGCTTGCCTTTATTATTATACCCTGTATGAGCAGAAATTATGTTTTTCATTACGCCAACCATTCAAATAGAAAATTGTCTCCTGCCAAACAAAGATCAATTGAAACACCTATGATGCAATTATGTTTTGTTTGAATTATAGAACATAAAATAGGCTGAAACTCTTTTCTGATGTAGGCCCCTAAAATGCAGTGTTGTGTTCCATAACATGCTCTTTTTCTTTCAGGTTGAAGAGCTCACTAAGGAAATCCATAATAGGAAGGAGAAAGATACATCTAGCGTAGAAGTACAGACAGAGAACTATGCTGCGTGGTCACAAGCAGGTAGAGAGGGTGGTGATTGCTTAAACAGGCATCTAGAACACTATCTTACTTTGAAATTATTTTAACGTTAAGTATATGTGAGGTCTGTAGCCTTAGCTGCATTAAACTCAGTAACCTGACATTATCTTTCAGACCATTTCCTATTTATTTAAGCCATTCCTTTCAGAACAGGACAAAATGTAGCATGGACTGTAGCAGAATTCATGCCATACTAATCTGTTACATAGAAGTCTCATACATTACACACATACGTGTTTTACCAGTTTTTAAAGTACATTAAAACAAGACATAATTTGTTCAGTAAGAGTATAATAATTTCAAAGCAGAGGCACTACCTAATAATTGATTTTCATTAGACTACTTATATGCATAAATTTCCAGTTTAAGGTTTAGGATCCTTAAACTGCATTGTGTAAAAGATTGCTTTGCTAATTTATACAACTTCAACTTTTCCCCCCCCTTGCAGATTATTACTACTATGAAAATTATTACAATCACACTGATACTCAAGACTCTGCATCTGAACTGCCAGTGCAGCACAATCATGGGGCTGAAGGCACTGACCATAATTCCACAGAGGAATCGCAGACAGGTGCTGATATTCCTTTAAGGATGGATAGCACCAAAGTTGCTGAAGGTGGAGAAGAGGAAAATGTCATTGAGAATTCACAGGTTATAGAACTGTTTGGAATTTTACCAATTTTGAAGTCAGAAATCATTAATATTTCATTTCATTTAAAAGATGTGCTTTTGGTCTTGATGTCATTGTATGAAATAATTTTTTTATGATGATCTAGTGCTGATGATAGCAGACAAACATCCTTGTGCTTTGAAACTAGTCTTTTTTGTAGTATGTTCCAAGCGTAATACCTAGAATTGTTTAAAAAAAACCTCCTACATTCTAAAACATATGTTGTACGTAGCCTGAAAGCATGTAATTTTTTTGTGAGCAGAGTACGTTCAATATGGCCATGCTGGCTTTCTTAAAGTGTACTTTTGTTTTTTTCCTCCATTGATACAGAAAGGCAACATATAAGGAGAAGAAAGTTGTTGGGGAGTTTTATTTGTTTATTTTGTTGTGGTGTTTTTTTTCCGCTGCTATTGAGCTTTCTCTTAGATCACTCACTCCATCTCACTCGCTTAACTGATTTTATGCCTTAGCATCTGGCAACTGAAATGGAACTGAGAGTAGAAATGTGTTTTAGGGATGTACTGAAAGATATTCACTGTGTATATTTTTCATGTGAACCACTTTTGAAGAAAAGTTGGGGAAAATGGAATGCACAGGATGAAGTCTTCGTCCCACTGAAATCAATAGGAGTTTATCAGTAAACTACAGCTAAATTTTTGCCTTCTGTTTTAATACTTCTTGAAGCAATCCAAGTCCATAGAGCACTAATTTGTTTTATTTAAAATAGGGCATTATAGAATGCTAAAGAACCAAGGAGGTTCCTTTTAGAAGAAAATCTAATTTCTTATTTTCTGGCATAAGGAAGCAGAAGATACTTCAGTACCAGAGGGTTCTTTGGCAGAGAGCTTGAGAGCTGCTGCAGAAGCTGCTGTTTCACAAACGGGATTTATTTATGATGAAAATACAGGATTGTATTATGACCATAGTACTGGCTTCTACTATAATTCGGTAAGGATTGTTTTTAAAATACTTGGCATTTTTTCTCTCTTGCAAAAGTTTTAGTAAAAGTTCATGTGAGCAGAGAACTAAAATCCAAGCTGACTTTGGGATTTGAAAAACATGTTACTGAAGATGAATACTAATGGAAGTTTGTTAATTGGTTGTTGAACTATTTCTGTCAAAGATAGCAGGTTAAGGTATAAATTTCAGTTTTCATTCAGTTCTTTCTGATGTCTCCTAAATCTTTAACCTGCTTGTCATTGTAGCAATTTTATACTATAAAGCTGCTCTGTAACTCTGTCAAAAGCTGGAACTAAAAGATGACTTGTTTAGAAAAAGACAGGTTGCTGAACCAAGTGGCTTCTCCACACTGAAAAGTGTGTAGAGAGAAAATATACAAAATACTTGTACTTTTACTTGGGTACTCTTGCCAACTAGTTTGATGTTACAGGAAAGGTAAGACTTCTTTAAAAAAAAGATGTCACATGGTGAATCAAAATTTCATAATGGTTAATTTCTGCTATACTATTTTCTTGAGGCAGCTTTTGGGGAGGTTTTCTTTTTGTCCTATGAGGTGCGTGTATATGTACATGCATATATAGATAGATACATACAGTGTCACAAATCGCAGTGGAACTACTGTGCTGAAAGCAGAGGTTTTGTTTGCAGCATTACATTCAATTCCATTTTTTAAAAAAAAGTGCAGGTGGTACACAAAACTACTTGTTTTATTTTCAGAGACACTTCTGGACTTAATTTGTAAAGTCTTAAATGTTACCATTGCTTTTGACATAGTTTGTGGATATAGCTAGATACATAAATGTTTAGGGCTATAGATTCCAGTTTATGTTACAGTTACACAAAAGAATATATCTTCTTGTTCAGTAACTGTTCTGAATTCCAGGAACTGTTCTTGTATTTGGTTTACTGGCAAGGTTTTGCTAGTGGGACTGGGGGCTGCAGAGGCAGCCTCTGTGAGAAGAGGTCAGGGGCTGCTGGACCCGACGGATTTCACTGCAAGACACAGCTGAGGCCGTCAGAGAAGCTGGTGGTGCCTCTGTGAAAGCATGTTTAAGAAAGGGCAAAATGCTGCTTAGTGGAGTGTGTATGAGCAGGGAGGGAGTGTGAAAAACAACCTGCAAATGCCAAGGTCAAAGAAGGAGGAGTGGGAGGAGGTTCTCCAGGCACCAGAGCAGGCAATTCCCTGCAGTCCATGGAAGATGACCACCCTGGAGCCAATATTC